AGTCTTTCTTTCCAATACCGAATTGGTGAAAGAACAACATCAGGAATAGTTGAAGAAACATGACAAGCCTTGCATGAAGTTATGAAAGACAAATATTTAAAGGTATAAAATTTAATTTTGTAAACTGTATAGCTATAACACAGTAAAACGTTTATTATAAGTATCAGTAAACAGTATTATTATACAACAGTATTTTGCTCAATATTATAGCTTTGTAATTAAAGTTTGCCAACTACTTGTCCTGTTCAGTAGTGGTCCTCTCTGTAGGGCACACTATTTTGCCCATAAATTGGATGTTGTTGGCTTTGTGAGGTACCAGGCATGATTGGGTGGAAATAATTTATCTGGGGTTGGGGTTGGGGTTGAATCACTGTTGGTGTTTGTATTTCCAGGGTTAGTAATCCAGCCTGTGCTTGAAAAATAATATTATTGATCTTGTTTTGTGCCAAATTGCTTGCCACTTTATCTAATTCGGACAAAGCTTTGGCAACATAATTCCCAAAAGCCTCATAAATTGTATCATTTCGTTTTGTTTTATGTTTGTTTGCAATTGACTGAGACAGATTCTTGATTAAGTGATACTCTTCTTCAGCTTGTTTCCTTCTGAACATTGCTCTTTTTTTTAAGTAGTTCACTTGTTGATCTTGCAGTGCTCTGATCACCACTTTCCTCAGTTTGATTGGTTGGGCTGGTTTGAATGAATTGATCAGGGAAATCATCATCTTCACCCTCATCATTTTCTTCAAAACTTATCTCTGAGGATGGAGTACTACAACTGCCATGGGAATCCTAAAAAATTAAACAAATATTTTATTTTCTAGACCCCGAACAATAAAGAAGATTGGCTACAAATTGCATCAGAAGTGAAATTATCCATGCTGTTTAGGAGCCATTGATGGGAAGCACATTGCTATTCAACAACCAGCTGATACAGGCTCTGAGTTCTTCAACTATAACCACTTTTTTAGTGTGATTTTATTTGCCATGGTTGATGCAAATTATAAATTTATTTATATTGATGTTGGAGCAGCTGGCAGAGCAGGTGATGCTGGGGTTTTTGCTGATTCTGCATTGAATAAAGCACTAAGAACAATCTCTTTAGATCTCCCAGATGCAGTTGCATTACAAGGGTTATAGTAGTAGCTGTTATTTTGCAGAGGTATAAGATAATTCGGTCGGAAGCCTTCCCTAATTCCTCCTTGTGTCGTTGTGGTGTAAATGGTTCCGTTCCCCCGGAAGGCACTTCACTTTGGTTCTATTAGGATATAGCAACGTAAAAGCTACTGACACCATATAAACTTCAGTCGCTGTTAAACTTTGCCATCTTTTCGGCTCCTCTCCTGAAAAGTTCCTCTGCATCAATTGAAGGAAAGACTTTAAGCGGAAACGACGACCCTCCGATCGCTTTCAACCCTCCGTTTATTGTTAAGTGAACAAACCACCGTTTTAGGTAAAGTTTTTGAGTTTATTTTCCTCAAGTGCTAAATCGCTGTTCACAAAGATACCAGCTCTGTCGACGTGTTTTTAGCTGAAATTGGCCTTTCTCTTATGTTGTTCTTTAATTTACAATCTATCCCACTTAAACTAACATGTTTGTGTAGTCCAGCTGTTTAGATACATTTTCAAATCAACTCTAGGTTGGAATTCTGTTTGTAAAGACTGTCGAAGAAATCCCAGAAATAATGCAACATATTCCTTCTCAGACACTCTGATTCATGGATTACCATTCATGGACAACTTTCTAACCCTGCCGAGAAATTATTCTCATGCAACATGAAGAGAAATGCACTTAAGTATGTGTAGTCCATGTTTTTGAAGTATATTATATCTGCAGAACTCAGGTTCCCCAGCTAAATATATGGAAATGACTTTGAAAGCATGAATAACTTCGATTTAAATAAAGTTTGGGTTGAATTGCAAACGAGTCACCCTTATCTTGTCGAGATTATGAACGCAGTGTCTGGCAAGGAGAAGTCCGCCGCAGAAACAAAGCGCGAGCTTCAAGTAAAGTACAGTTTTCTTTACTCGATCCTCATGAACGAACTCAACCTGGTGAAACGTTTGAATTCAGTTCTCATCATTGAATGTGAATGTACCAAAAAGGTAATTCCCAGCTAATGATACGTGTATAACATTGCATTGTTGTCCTTAATCAATTGCCATAGTCACAGTGCAGTATTTATTATTCACCAGTGTAATCATGCATTGAATACAATCTGCGTTTTATCCTCTTTTCAAATAAGCTCTGCAGAAATTTTATTATCGTGAGGTAGTTTTTGTCAGTTAGGTTGTGATTGCGATTCTAATTGAAAGATTCATCCAGAAAAATATTGTAACTGATATTCATGATGAAGTTGTGAAATAGGAGGTTACTGCATGTGCATGTGTAGTTAATTTCTGCTTCCCTTGTAATCCCTAGCTTCAAGAACGACTGAACATACTTGGTGTGTGCCTGTCATCTGGGAGAAGGGACACCCTGCTGAAGCTCTTATGGGGTCACTTTTCAGACAAAGTGGTGCAGAAAATAAAGAGAGGTAGTGTGTTCCGAGATACTGGTGACAATTGGGACTTGAAAATTTTGAAAGGACACATGAGAAAGGAAATTCAGAACGAGGATCTGCACTTATTTGCCAGTAACTTGATTGAGAACCAAATTAACTTCAACCCCTAGCCTAATGACAACCCTAAAGGAAACATTAAAGATTTCCCTCGATACAATTTTTTCCTTAAATGTACCTGAATGGAAACGATACGCAGAATGTGCCAAAATTATTTTTAGTAGAATTGTTCTTGAGTCTTGCAAGTATCTTGATAAAATGTGGAATTATTTCAGCTTTCACAATGCGACAGAAGGTCCTGTTTCTAATGAAAATATGTGGTACATACAGATTTTATATGGGCTATAAAAGATAGGGAGCTGTCAATGGTTAGACCTAGTAACTTCATATCGTGTACCACCTCCAAAGGTGGCGTAGTGCGGTCAGCAAACAATTCGTAGTATGGCGGATCGTCACCCAATGGTAACACTTTAGTTTTAGATTCGTTTGTACTTAAGTAATTAGACTTGAACCATGACAGAAGCGCGTCAAACTTGTTCTGAGATCTTGACTCTAACAGATCTTGGTTAGGGTGTGATAGATAGTGTCGTATCATCAGCACAAAGTCTTAGCTCGGCATCGTCGACAGAATAAGATCATTAATAAATAGGTTGAGAACCCTTTCTTTTTCATTCCACTTGTTCAAACCAATATAGATACACTTCCTGGTCTGCTGTCGAGGTCTTTCTACTTTTAGCCTTCCCACCTTTGACTTTAGAAAACCACTGCTTGCCTTTAGCTGCCTTATACTCTGTAAATGTCTTGACAGATTTGGTGGACTTGATAGAACTTGCTTCCTGTTCACTAGAGGTGGTGCTTGGCCCTGGATTATCCTGATTAATTCCTAAATAGGTTGAACATTCAATTGAAAGGATTAAATACTTCTTGGAAGAAAAACAAGACTCTGTACAGTTTGCAATCCAGAACCTCACCAAACAAGACATTTACCTTTTCAAGACAGAGTGCACTCCTTTTTAGAAAAACAAGATTTACAGAAACCTACTGGTTATGCAATATGGTAAAAAAACCTACAAAAGGCATTTCTAAGCCTTGCATGATGCACTCGTACGCACATGAATATCAGAAAAGATTTCCATGATAATGTATCCACCAAGTGAACGGTTGATGAACTATCATAAAAGGTATTACAATGTATTCTGTTGTTAAGTCATTTCCATATTGCATGAGATTTGTCAGTTTAGAAGACTTGCATCGTTCGGCTTGAACTTATTATTCCCGCCTTCGGTGGGAATAAAACAGATATTGAAAGATGGATTATTTCCTGACACAGGCACACTTGGAAAAACAAAAAAAAAGACCTGAGCTCTCCCAACAGGAGAACAGATGGTTCAAACTGTATGCCACAAGCTTACCCACGTCCTTATCAGGAGATTCTTTTAATACATTAATTTGATAATAGGCACAGGTCGTTATTCATAAGGGCAGAGGGGGAGGGAGTAAATGCGAAACTTGAGGAGGGTTAGGTGTGGTGAGGACAAGGGGTGGATCATAAAAAAGAATTCTTGATTTTTGGGGGGAGAGGGTTAGGTATTGTTTGCAGAGCCTCATTGAATGCAGTAATTAAACAAGTTTATTTTCTCTAAAAAATCGCCTATAGGCCTCAAACAATGGGGAACTTCAACGACACAAAGGTGTACTGTAAAAATTGCAGTCTCATTGCCTAGGGCATAGTAGTGCAATTGGGGTGACTAGTGAAAAACAGAGAAAAATGTCGGAATCTGGTGAACACGTTTTGTTGATTTGCATAGTGACTGGTCCATGATCAGAGAAAAACAAGAAAAGAATAGAACAGACCCCAATTGTTTAAAAGCTGGATAGCACTACCCACTAGATGAATCCCAATCCAGCTGATAAGTATTTAGGAAACCAATTGCATTACCCACTGGATAGAGATTATTCCAGTGGATAGCATTATCCACCTTTTGAACAACTCAGGCCAGGTGTGTAGAGAAAAGGAGGGGAAGGTCACCTCTGAAATGGAGTCTTTATGAGGGTGGGCAAGCAATTGAATTTAAGACTTCAAGGGGAGGGTCAAGAAAACAAACTCATACCCACACAGATTTCTCCCCTTCCCCTTCCCCCCCCCCCCACCTCTTTTAATAAACAATGACTGGTCCCATGGCACTTCCGCTGGCTTTTGGCACGTGAATCTCACCGCCATAATCGGTAGTTTAAGATGTAATGAGGCCAATGGCAACGCCAGCGTTAAAATAACAATGCAAAAGTAGTAGGTTTGACGAGCAAACAATAATTTTGCACTTGCATCACGCTTTTTGGTACATTTCTTTGCCGTCAGTGCTTGACTACCCGAGGCGGGGGAGAACTTTGGTTAATTTTTGTTGGACATCTTTTTTGTCTGGGCACCTCCCCCTTTATAGTCTATTCTGTGGCCAATTATAGACCTCATCTTTGTCACTATAGGGCAAATATGTAATTTTTGCGATCCCATCTTAGTCACTTTCTTATATGTATCTACCTTGTATTGAATGAAGAACATTTAACTTTTCACCTACAGTACAAACATTCTGGTACGTTTGCTAACCGTAATTGTAGAGAATTGTCTTGCCCCTAAGATAAAAAAAGAGTGCGACCCATTATAGCCAATCCAGTCGTGAAAATGCGGCCCCATCCAGCGGCACTTCCCCATTTGCCTGTCACTATTACGCTGTGCCTGTTCCTAATACGCCGTGCCTGTTCCTAATACGCCGTGCCTGTTCTTTATAAGCTGCGCCTGTTCCTAATACGCTGTGCCAGTTTCTAGTAAGCCCTACCTGTTCCTACTAGGAATTGGATTTTGGAAAATGAATGGCGAAGGGAATACAGGACAAAATGCGCGGGAATGTCTTGCTGACCAAACGAATCGCGGGGTCTGTGAAAGTGCGCACACAACCTTTTTTGTTTCTTATTTGCAACGTTCACTTACTTATTTGCAGCGTCCATTATTTTGGGAGGGTCTGAGTATCCCGTATCCCATTAATTTTAGGCCAAAATATCCCGTATCCCAATAATTCTTGTGGTTCGTACCCCTATAACGCCAGTTACCATGATGACTTCATTGAGCGTGATATGTTTAGGTATCCGACGACTAAGATACATTTTCCTGGGGCGTTTCAAATTTCAAATAGAAATTACATGCAAATAAGACATTATGCTAATCGATGGTATGCTCTTATGTAATATTCTGTAAAGAATTGCTAAGGGACTGAGGTGACTTAAAAGCAATGAGTAACCGGGAAAGTGACGCAAAATGGAAAAAGCTGTGGGGGAGGGGGAAAGTTCATCTTGGACAAGAGCCGATATAGGCACGTATTGACAATATTTGATGGCAAAAAGTAAAAAATCGCATTTGAAAGTATTTTTTCACTATTTACGCCTTCCACATTGACTAATATTGAGTACTTGCCAGTACTGACTTGCTGTACTGGCAAGGTAAATTCTATATTCATTAAAATCTTAGTTGATATTTGTGGTTAGTGATACTCCATGAATGAAAAGTAATGCATGTGCTGCATACAAATATATGTACAACTTATAGAATTAGGTAAACATAAAATTAGAATCAAAGTGAATATTTTCTGATTACTCAACACCCTACATACAGATATGATGTAGTTTAACATGCAAGATTTTTTCAACTGCCCTACTGACATCTTGTCTACCTACAGCTACAATAGGTGCAACAGATGTATCAGTGGGAACAATGGCAGAGGAAGAACGCTTACAGACAGGAGAAGTTTACACAGTTGGATTTGTGCCATCTTATGACTTACCTGATGCACGGCCAAACTGTATTGATCCTTTTCTTTAGCCACTTATTAGTGATATTGAGAAAGGATATATTGCGGTACCAATTTAGATGTGGACATTTTAGCTGCTTGTCACTGTAGGAATAAAAAAGACATTTTAATGGAAGAATGTGTTCAAAACTTACTATACTTTTTATAACTTGTCAATATTATTATCTCAGTTGCTATCAACTACTAAGTTAAGATGCTATGCTGACACAACAAAAATAAATCGTTCAACAGTTTCAGACACAACATGCTTTGGGTCAGTGATATCAGCAACATGGACCAAGCTGTTGAGTAACATGTATCCTCCTTAAAGTAAATCCAGTCTAAACTTAACACTTATTCATTTGTTTTGTTTTTAGGATACCAAGTGAGCTATGCAGGATCACTTCCAAATTTTCCACCTGCCAATATCTCAATTCGGCATATTATACTGTTTTGGACAGGAGACCATCCTGCATAGTGTGAGGTGTGTAAGACGAAAGGTACTGGAGCCAGAAAAGGATGTCGAAGGTGCCATATATGTGGGTAGGTGGTGGAAGTTAAAAACAGTGCAAGTTCTGATACCCATTCTTTTCAGTCTACACGTGTTTACTACATAATGTATTCTCTCAATTACATAGAGTATTGAAAGCATTTGTCTGTAAACTAGGAATAATGCATTATCTCTTGGTTATTCCATGTAGGTACACGGCTGAGTGAACGCAATCACAGCTACTACCCAACCTTCAGGAAGCAATACAGATACCCTTATCAAAAGAAGTTGCTCAAGGAAGAATTGCCGACAATGAAGGCTTTAGAAGAGGAAGAAAGACCTACCTATTTCCGAAGAATAAGCAAGGAAATTCTCTGCTGGGGTTATCAGTTCTTTATAGGCCTTATCCCCTCTATGGATATGATGTTCTCAGGGACTCCGTCTTTGATGCTATACGTCAGTTTAAGATTTCTAGTCCCAGTTTTTCTCGGTCATATCATACCGAGCTTATTTCATTAGCAGACTGAAACCCACGTGGGGCAGTCAACATATTTGCTTTATCAAGCTCGGTTGATACTAAGATATTTAGTTATTAAAGGACAACTCAGACGTCGGCTGCCACACTCATTCTCTCCCCGGTGTATAATAGTACTTTGATCAAGTAACACGATTGTACCAGCTTATTACACAGTTGATCAACGAATAAAGACAGAATGTAGAAAGTAATTAAATAAAGAAAATTCTTTCTGGAGCAAAATGTTTTTGTGAAGTCTGCGCCTTTGAATTCTCTATCAACACTTTGTCAGGGACTTGGGAGAGTGGAACGATTCCATCCCATCTAAAGCCCTAAAACGCTTAAAAAGGTATAAGGAACAGTATTGAGAAACAAAAGATACAACCATGTTTGTAGTTGGCTAAAAATATTTTTATTAGTAATCACAAATGTTTGAGAAGAATTGATGCGCACAAGCGAGCATTATAACCAACCAGATGAATATCGAGGTTACAAATTAAACATTCATTTTCCACAATGTTCCCTTTTAAACGAAGGTTTCTTTGCTTTTTGTGATTAAAACTTCATTTCTGAGTCTTTCTGCAAAGAGTTGCTCGTCACTCGCATCATAAGGTACAGCCCACACTTGGAGATCATCTGCGTCCTGTGCAAAACACAAGGGTGGCTTAAGCACCGCCTTGTTCAGGTCACTCGTTGAACGCACAGGACGCAGATTCTCCTGCCATGTTTTAGCACGTGTTTTGGGATCTGGAGATGGATCATACAGGTCTTCCCAGAAAAATTCCACCTTCTTTTCTATCGCTTGAACATCTTTTTCCAAGGCTGTTTTGCGAATTCCGCATTCACTGTGGAGAGAAAAAGTAATAAATCAGCGGTTGTTGTCAGTTTGACTTACGAGTTTCTAACCCTGACCATTAATGGAAACATGACCTGACTGATTTATCTCTTCCCATCCCATCTCACCATATCGTTCCATCCATTTATTTTTCATTATTTAGTCAACTTATGATCTACTCACATGATAAATGACATTAGCTCCTTGCGCTCCTCTAATGCTCGTCCCAGTTCACTCTCAATTTCCTCTACTTGAGTCATCAGATTGTGTCTGATGTCTCTTCTCCTGTTTTCTTTTTCTTCTACAGCTTTTTGTCGCTGCCTGAACAACTCAACAGTATCCCTGTTAGAAACAATCCAACAATTAGTATCACCAATGAGGTCAACAACCTTGACTTGTCCATAGAATTTAATCGCACAGCGAAATTTCGAGAATCCATCACTCCTGATGTCGAGCATTTATTTTTTAAGGATGCGATTGCAGAAATCTGTCACGCTGCTGCAAGATCCTCACATAATATAAACTTTTTACTTTCTTCATTACCTTGTGATGTGGACATCTTGTTCAAGTATTCTGATTAATTCTTGCATGCTTGCAAGTTCTCTTTCCATTTGTCTTCTGTAAGAGAAAACGGAGAATCGACCGCAAGTTAAAATATTTCAGTTAGCAACAAAGACAAACGCACTCAGTAAGTGAACGAAATAATTCTTACTTCGACTTATAATTTCTTTGTCTAGAACCAAAGCAGTTTAAACCTCTGAAAAGTCTTAAGATACCCATTTTGAATTCGTAACTTTGTGAATAAAATCTCCCAAGGCTCGTAGACGTGTGGTTTGCGAAGTGTTCTCAACTGAACCTGTCTACGTATGTAGAGTAACAATTGTGATGTTATATACGTGAGATGCGCGCGTTAATGTGAGCACGCGCTCAACCTTGCGCGCGCACCCCGTAATGCAGGATCTGATTAAAATACTCCATTCACACCACAACTGATTATGTTTTAAAGCTGTTTTGCTAATTACGAATCAACTCAAACTAAAATTTGTCAACTTCAACATAGAACAAATTAGAAGGTTCTATTGTGATTACCTAAAGGTTTAGTAGAATTATGTTATACTTGCTCTGTTTCTGATTCTTTATTAGTTAAACCTGGCATAACTGTACATATTTTTCTGGAATTGGATGAAAGATAATGTAACCTATTCTTATAAATAAAAAAAATTTTTTTTTTTAAAACTAAAATAGTTTTAACACAATACTCGAAAAAGCCTGGTTAAATGTGGGACATGGCGAACTCTGGTAGTCACGCGCCCAAACAGTTCTTCTCAATTTAAATCGAACAAAACTAAAATAAATGACTGTAAATATATGGAAACTTTATAGCTGATTTGCGGTTGAAGAAACGAATATGGAAGCGATCCTCGCAGTTAGTATGAGCATTTCTTAAATATCGCAGAGGTCATGGTTTCAAATCCTGTACATACCTGAATTTTATTTCAGACCATATTTTCGCAACTGCTTAGTTAAGAAGTGTTCATAACTACGAGGATCGCTTCCGTATTAAAAACTTAAATATTTAAAACATTATCGACCCGATTACAACACTAAGAAATCTATTTACAAATGAATGACCATAGCAACAAGGGAAAGGTACAACAGTAATAAAAAAAATTGAAACTTAAACTTATCATCCATACCAAAATCTTATCCGATTCTGATTTAAATTTTATCGTTAGGCTGACATTCATCAACACACGATCAGGGTTGTCTAATCTAACAAGATCATAAGTAATATTAACAAGAGCGAATACTCACTTCTTTCATGTCCAAGTTTACCTACAAACAAAAAAGACATACATTAACGTTACGATTATATTCTGAGGTACTGCTGTATACTAACAATCTAAGTGCCGTGATCTTCAGTCTAAAATCTTCACTTACTGGGATCAGTACGAAGAAAACCAAATGTCAGCCAAGCGTTTACTGAAATCCTGCTCCTACCTCAATGGACCAAGAGAGAAGTGATCATTAATAAAATGATCAACACAAATAAAAGCAATGACCAACAACAATACCATTTATTTTACTGAGTTACCAGTAAGGCACAACCTCCTTTTAACTACGCGAGACTGGGTACTAAATACGTCCTCCGCTTAATTAATACTTACAATTTTCTTTTAAATTTCAAGTTATCAAATGCGCCACTATGAAAAGTTTGAGACATTTAAGCTTTAATAATTCATTCGAAGTTTAAGTGACTCCACTGTTTTCATTCAGAAAGCGTTTTTCCATGCGGACGCTGGAAGTGTCCTTTCAATCATGGCTTCATGGCAACCTTTTTGTTTTTATTTGTTTAGTTTAGTTCTTTATTTACTCTTAATTTAGTAGACCATTCTATTTTAGTTAACAAATTACGTAATTTAAAAGTACCACGTAGTATAGTCAACTGGATCACTGATTTATGGTCTAATCGATCTCAAAGAATCACGCTAGCAAATGGTTATTACGAGTGGGGTGCAGTCCCCTCTGGGGTACCACAGGGTACCAAATTGGGCCCACGGCTTTTTGCATTGATAATAAATAATTTAGATGTAAACACACCATACTTATGGAAATTTGTTGATGACACTACAGCATCCGAAGGCGTTCCGAAAGGGAATGCCAGTAATGCAGAGTATAGTTAACCAGGTTATCGAGTGGTCCCATATAAATAGAGTACAACTCAACCCTGATAAATGCAAGGAGCTCCGAATCTCGTTAGCACGGAATCCAGTTGAACTGGATGCGTTTGTCATCGACAGAAAAGAAGTAAGTTCTGGTAAGTTGCTGGGACCTACCATAGGTGCTAACCTAACTTGGAATGCACGCACTGAAGAAGTAGTTAAGAAAGCTAGTAAGCGATTGTATTTCCTAGTACAGCTCAAACGCGCGAAACTATCACCAACAGATCAAATTCTAATCTACCGTTCAGGTATTTTGTAGCGCTTTGTCGTAATATTTCAAAGAGCTTGTTCGTATTAAGAAAAGGGCGATCTCAATAATTATGACCGACACGAGCTACGATAATGCATGCGAAATCCTTGGCATAACACTAATGGTGGATCGTACTGATTCATGATGTGATAAGCTTTTTCATAGCATCGCATCTGATAAAGACCAAGAAAGAAACAACTTGCTTCCGCCATTATATAAGAATCCAAGGTATAATGTAAGAAACCATCGCCTTTACAGCGTTATGAACGGTATGAACAATATGACCTTGCCATCCGCGAACTCGGAACGGAGAATGAACAGTTAAAAAGTTTGACGACAGCGCAGATTAAAGCTCGAGCAGAGGCCTTCCAGTTGAGAGAGGAACTGACACTACTTCGCATTGAGGGGGCACAAAGCCGCTTGCCAGTGGACTGGACCAAAAACGCTGCTAAGTTTAACACGTCAAAGAAAAGTTTTTGGGAATGTGAGAAGGCATCTCGTTCCCAGAAGAGAAAAAAGATACGAGCATGGGGCAGAATGGGTGAACATCATGAATTATTCATAACCAAATTTGAAGGCGACCTGGCTTTGAGGAGCCCTAAATTAGAGAAGAATGGGCCAAAATTGGCCAACCAGGCTTCGTAAAACTCACTTTTCTGAGAGTTGAAAGTGTTTGCTTCTAAATCAACGCACGGCTTTTTGAAGATTAAAGATGTATCTACAATTTGCACCTGAAATTAACGATTTTTACGAAGTAGAAGTATTATCCTTTTGAACTTGAAATACACAAAATTCGCGTACTTTTAGTATGGAAATCATTTTCCGGAGCGATTTTCTGAAAACCCTTACTACCCTTGAACGATCAACGCGCGGCAAATAAAAGATTAATCTTTATTCTCACAGAATCCGTTTTAAGTTTAAAAATTGGCCGATGGGAACCTTTATCCATTTCAGTTTGAAAAATTGTAGTTGGAATTGCGTTCAAAAATGGCGCTTTTTAGGTGAGCGAGCCATTGTCTTTAGCTTAGCCATGAGGCCGTTAATTAATAGATAATTACTGAGGTTCGCAGCATTATACCCAATAATGCTGCGAACCGAAGTAATTAACTATTATAATTATTGACCCTCATAAAATCCTATTGTTCTCTCTCTGCATTACATCGACGATTTCAGTCGCCCCTTCATATTGATGTTTTGGTACACCAACAATGCAACTGGCAAGCATTGTCCAGTAATAATACAAATTGCATAATCCTTTTTCATTCCCCAATTCAGCCATTGTTAACTACTTGCAAAGATGATATAATCATTGACTCTAATGAAATCCTACTATTTTCTCTCTCTAACAATGCAATTAGCACGTATTGTCTAGTAGTTATACAAATTACATAACCCTTTTCATTTCCCGGAATTTAGTCATTGTTAAATCCTTGTAAAGATTATGTAACTTTCCACATCTTTCAGGTGTGTGATTGAATTTCATGCAAATGTAATTTGCATTGTATATTATCGCAATGCACTTGGTTATTTGAGTTGTTTGTTGGAAGGCAAAGAGTTGCTACTGTTTTGAAGCTTGATGGAGGATTCTTCGGAAGACGAATCTGCCATTTTCATAACGCAGAGCCAGAGGTCGGAAAATGCCGCTGCCGTTGAAGGTAATTACGCTTTAACTTTTTGGGGGTCATTTTTAAACGACTAAGAAAAGCTTTCCTTGTATTTTGTTATTGTTTATAGAAGAGCAAAGATTCAGAAAACCAATTACGTCTGTTGAGTGTGAAAAATTTGAAGAAAGTTGGGTGTCAGACTCAAGTCGTCGAAAATGGGCGTGGGTGCTGAAAGTCTTTGATCAGTGGATGGTTGAGTGGTGAACCGTTGATAAACGAGAATCTAGATGAAATGTCTGAAGAGCAGCTGGATTTTGTCTTGGCTCGATTTATTGCCGAAGTTAGAAAAGAAGATGGACAAGAATATCCAGGAAAGATTTTATATGAAATGATAAGTAGTATTCAAACGTTTTTACGTGTGAAATGTAAGAGAAATGTAACTTTGATTGACAAAACAGGTTGTAAATTTAGAAGTTTGAATTCAGCTTTGAATTTTCAAATGAAAGAAAAAGCTGGGCAAGGAATAGGCTTAGTTGTCAACAAGGCTAATCTTATTACGGAGAATAAAGAAAACTATTTGTGGGAAAACGGGTTTTTAGGGAGCGACAACGCAGAGCTGCTTTGCCACACTTTGGTCTGGGTTTTTGGCATTCAGTTTGCTCTAAGGGCTGGGCAGGAACACAGGAATTTGAGATTTAAAAACTCACAGTTATCGCTACAAAGTGACGAATCGGGTAATGAATTCTTACAGTATATGGAGGATATCAGTAAAACTAATAATGGCGGTTTGAGCCATTTGCGTATCAAAAGGAAAGTTGTTCGGGCATATAAGAACTTAACCAATGTAGAGCGTTGCCCAGTTGAGCTGTATAAGAAATACGTATCTCACGTGCCGAAAGAAATCAGTGACAACGCATTCTATTTGCGGGCTTTGCCAAAGCCAAAAGGGGACGTATGGTATTATAATAAAGCTATGGGGAGGGAAACGTTAGGGAACGTAGTTAAGAATATTATGCGAAGAGCAGGTTTTGAGGGGCACTTTACAAATCATTCCCTTCGACGAAGTTGCGCCACACGATTGTACGAAGGTGGTGTGCCAGAACAAGTTATTGTAGAAACCACTGGTCACCGATCATGTGATGGGGTTAGGGAGTATAAGTGTACCTCATCAACACTTAAAAGGAAAGCAAGTGAAATCTTGCAGGGAGCGACTCCTAAGAGGGCAGAAATAGACGTCAAGGAAAAAAATGAAAAACTGTTTAACAATGATGTTGAGCAAAAATATGATGGACAAAGGGAAGAAACAGGGTTACAGGGGTTAAGCGAAAAGGTTTTAGACGAAAACCAGAGCGAAGATTATAATCAGTCAGTTGTAATTAGTACTCACAGTACGAAAATTGTTATTTCTTACAAGTGAGAAAGACTGTCATTGTCAGATGTGCCCTAAATAAACTGTAAAATGTTTTCGTCTGTACGTCTCCTGGAATGGTACTTCTCATGGTGTATTCATTTACTCTTTAACTTCAGATCTTCATCATAAATTATGCGCGGACATTCGCGAATTTTCAAAAATTACTGAGTGGAAAAGTAACGAAGTAAATACCACAGTCATGCAGCAATATTAAAAATATTGCTGGAAGCAGGCTGCATTATTAAAAATATTGCAGTGCAGCCAGCCCACTGCAATATTGAACGTTTTAGCGCGTTTAGGATTACCCCTGATAATTTCCCTGCTACCAAAAAGGACCGCCACCGTTTTCCTCAGACAGTTGGACTTGACTGAATATGAATATTTTCTCAGGCTGAAATCGCCGATATAATGCCGAGAGAGAACAATAGGATTTTATGAGGGTCAGTAATTATTTAGTGATCATATAAAAGGACCTCTTGTTGCAGCGTTTAGATAACCCCTGATCAAGGCACTAGACAGGAGTGTCGAAACGTTGGGTCTATGAATTGTAACTTCTTCGGTTACATTCATTAAATCTGTAAACCAGAGTAGTATCAAACCATGTCTAACAATACACCTGTCAACCTAAACAATGCCTATTGTTGAAACTCCTTCGCTTGTAAAATTATTCACAGCTGCCGCGAATTTTAAAACTGCTAAGTGTATCAGCTGTCAAACCTTCATTTAAGTTAAGTCATGATGGTGCGCGTTGACCAGCAATCTGTATGCGATCGGGAGCTCTTTTTAGAGTTCACTGAATCCCCGATCGCTCGGTAATCTGAATGCGACCGGGAGCTCTTTTCAGAGCTCACTGAATCCCCAATCGTCCAACAAACTGTCAGTGATCGGGAGCTCTTTTCAGAGCTCGCTGAACCCCCGATCGCTGAGCAAACTGTATGCGATCGGGAGCTCTTTTGAGAGCTCTTTGAAACCCCGATCCATCCGATGTTACTTAACATGGTGCCGCCATACGTTAACGTTGTCATTCCAACGTTCGATTTACAAATAAATGGCGAAGGTATTTGGAGATGGAGGTAAGTATCTGGAAGGCCCAAGACACTGTTTGAACTATTACAAATAAGTGTATCACAACTTGGATACCGACTCGCGGAATCTGGTTGTGAACGTGTGGGGCAAGCACTTGCGCAAAGCGTAGGGAGATTTCGGCTCAAGATCCAATCCACCTCAAACGGCAAAAAGAGAAAACAGCTGAAAGGGGAGACGTGGATTAAGGTTTCTCTTTAGCCTCACGAAAGCGACGATGGCTCATTCCAGATCGGAGCACACGCACACAACCATCCCGTAGACGTCGGCGCAGCAGTCTCAGCCACTATCTCAGCCAAAGTCAAAGCGATCGCCGCCGAGAACATCTTCCGACCAGCGTCGAGTATCGTCGAGGAGATACTTCTACAAGAGCTGACTGATGCTCCCTGCCCGAGTCTACCCAAACCTGAATACATCGCCAGGACTGCCAACCGGTTCCCCCAACGCCTGAGGCCAAAAGACCCAACAGACTTAGCCTTCGAGTTAGAGCACGACCACCTCCCGGCTGGCTTCTTCCGCGCCGATGTTCAAGTACATGGCCGTCGCCACTTGATGTTTGCCACAGAACAGCAACTACAGTACCTCGCCCGAGCAAAGAACTGGTACGTGGACGGCACCTTCAAACTCTGCAGACCTCCCTTCACCCAGCTCCTCACCGTGAACGCCTTCGTAAAATAGGATGATCACGCCAAGCAGGTGCCCCTCCTGTTCGTCGGAACAAGAAGGACTACCGAAAGGTCTTCAAACAGCTGCTCGAGATACTTCCAACAGCGCCTGCAGTGAAGCGGATAACCCTCGACTTCGAGAAAGCAGTTTGGGCCGTGCTGAGAAACCTGTTTCCTTATGTCAAGCTGCAGGGATGCGCATTCCACTGGACGCAAGCTCTGTGGAGAAAGGTAAGATGATAACTTTAACTTTAATTTAGTGATTTTTCGTAAATTTTGGAAAACACATTTAAGCGACATGTTACTAGTTTAGCGATTTTGAAAATTCCGTATTTTGCGATTTCCAATTCAAAACATTAAATTCGGATAAGAACATCAATTTGCTAAAATCATATATGCCCTTTAACTGATACAACTTTTATGGGATTAAAATAAGTTAAAACTTAAAAAAAAACTGTCATGATGTTTTAATAACACACAACACAACACACTGTAACACACACTTGCTTATATTCTGTTTAATTTTTCTTTGCTAGGTTCAGGCGCTTGGGCTGACAAACAGTTATTACAACGACAGAGGCACCTACACTTGCATCCGTAAGATGATGGCACTTCCGTTCCTGCCCGAGGGAGAGATCCTGACCGAGTTTCAGCGTCTTCAACGCCAGGCAGGGTCCCCGACCTTAGCAGAGTTCGCCGAGTATGTCAACAGTACCTGGATCAGCAACACGACATGGAGCCCTGCCGACTGGACAGTCTTCAAACAAGCAGTACGAACGAACAACGACCTCGAAGGCTGGCACCACGGGATCAACCGTCGAGCGGCTGGCAAGTCACAACTCCCACTTTACGTCCTGATCAAGCTACTACACCAGGAGGCCCAGCTGACAGCTATCCAGATCCGTTTAGTATCAGAGAACTCAGTAACTTATTTGATGGAGCGAACTAACTTTCGAGTGGAGCGATCTGACTTACGTATGGTGCGATCTGACTTGGAGCGATCTAACCATGGAGCGATCTAACCGTAATTCAAAACAACCGACTGGAAGAAATGCTATGGAACTGCTCCGTATTGAAGTAGAGAGAGAGGAGGAGGGCCCGAGAGATGAAGGTAGAGAGAGACGGAGGAGAGAAAGAGAGAGAAGCAGACAGGAGGATAGAGAAAGGACAAGGCGAGAGAGGGTCGAGGAACGGCGCAGAGAGACAATTGTTCAACCACGACAACCTTTACGGCAACCTCCACGTCAACCTACACGTCGTCCCAGTAAGTAATGTAAACTGCTTCCTACCGCTGGATATATTTTTAACCTTTTTATTTGGTTTTCCGATTTTTCAAATCTCAAATACGCGATATAGCATGGCACGTTAAAATACGAAATATCCCTTCGAGTGTTGAACATGTCTCAATAGTGCGAGAAGTGAATTAGAGAAATATTGTTTTCCCATAAATTAAAATGAATTACATACAAAGGGAAACACCGAACCATTTCCTTTGCGTACGAATTACTTTGTATCCAAAGCCTCGGCATTCACATGTCAAAATAACATGTTGCACGTGTCACATTTTTGCGGAAGGTCTTCTAGTACTTCCCTGCTAGTTGTTTAGTGAAAAGGGAATATTACATGGCCGCATGGAGATACGAGTGACTCTCTCTTAATGAAATGGTAATCCATTCTAATTTCGTTGCAAAAGATACAACTGTTATTCAGCCGTAGACACTGTGGAATTCTGAAGGGTCACGTGGTTGTTACTGCTATTGTTATAACAAAAGTCTTTATTTCCTTGCAGAGAGATGTTACAACTGTGGAAAAGTCGGACACATTCGGGCCCAATGCCGAAGTCCGAAGCGTCGCCGAACAAAAGAATACAGAGGGGACAGTCACGTGGGTGCTGTTCACTACCACTTCCACGGCACTGTCCGAAATCTAAAAATTTCGAAATAAAGAGTTTTTTGAATGTGAAATGTGTCATAATGCATTCTGCCTAAATCCAAATAGCAGGGGATAACGTGGGTAATGACTGGTCTTGAAAATGCGACCTGGAACGATAACACATCCTAACACACGCGCACACACAAAAAACCAATACAAGGCATTCGAATTCAAAGTAAACTGTAATCATTTTTTTAAAGTTTATGGTAGAAGCACATCTACGACTCTACAGTAAGAAATTTGTAACAAACGAAATGCCCGTAGAAGCTGTCCATACCTTGTCCCTTGTCGAGCTTAAATAAAAATTTGTCGCACCTCTTACTAAGGTGGCCTCGCTAAAATATGATAGAAAAAAAATGAATATATTTCCCGCTAAGTAATTTTTCACGCCAGCCGCAAACGGCGTAATTTCTTCCAGTCGGTTGTCTTAAATGGAAGATTTTACGCCAGTAACTAACGGCGTAATTTCTTCCAGTCGATAGTTTTATATGGAAGATTTTACGCCAGTAACTAACGGTTTAATTTCTTCCAGTCGGTTGTGTTTCTATGGAAGATTTTACGCCAGTAACTAATGGCGTAATTTCTTCCAGTCGGTTGTGTTTATATGTAAGATTTTACGCCAGTAACTAACGGCGTAATTTATTCCAGTCGGTTGTCTTATATGGAAGAGTTTACGCCAGTAACTAACGGCGTAATTTCTTCCAGTCGGTTATGTTTATATGGAAGATTTTACGCCAGTAACTAACGGCGTTATTTCTTCCAGTCGGTGATATATATATATATAACATTTTACGCCAGTGATATAAATTAATTATATTTTAATTTATTATAATTAAATCACTGATTGGGTTAGTGGCGTAAAATTAATGTGGTTTTCCCATTCACCTAGACAGACGAATTAACTGAAGTCTTGTTCGCCTAGTTTTCAAATTTGGAGGGAGCTAAATAGCAAAGCGCGTTGAAATACGAAATATTCCTTCGAGTGTTGAATGTCTCAGGAGTGCGAACAGCGAACGAATCACATACAAACAGTAATTTAATATCATTTTGCCATACAAACACCCGAAAAACGGAACCACTTTCTTTGCGTACGATTTACTTTGAAACCATAGGGTCGGTGCGGTAGTCACATGTAAAAATAACATGTTACACATGTCACATTTTTGCGCGGGAGGTCTTCTAGTAAATCACTTATAGTCGTATTATAAAAGGGGATATTCCATGCCTGCATGGAGATACGAGTGACTCTCTTAATGAAATGGCAATCCATTCTAATTTCGTTGCAAGACACAACTGTTATTCAACTGTAGAGACTGTTATTTTCATTATTTCGCGGGAAAGGTCACGTGGTATCTTACTGCTATTGTTATAACTAAAGTCTTTCTCCATGCAGAGAAATGTTACAACTGCGGGACCGTCGGCCATATTCGGGCTCAATGCCAAAGACCGAGGCGTTGGGAAAGAAAAGAATACAAAAGGGACAGTCACGTGGGTGGTATTCATTACCGCTTTCATGGCACTGTCCAAAACCTTAAAACTCTGAGATAAAGTGTGTTTTCAATTTGAAATGTCTGATAGTGCATTATGTCTAAATTCACATGGCAAGGGGATAATGTGGGTAATGACTGGTCTTAAAATTGCGAACTCGAATGATAACACATCTTAACACACCCACACATACTCACACACCCACCCACCCACACAGAAAAAAGCAAGACATTCGAATTCTAACTAGGCTAGCGGTGGAGCACATATACCTCTCTACTTCGAGAAAGTTGTTACCAACGCAATGACCGTAAAAGCTGTCCGTACCCTGTCAATTTTCAAGCTTGTTTCTAAACATGGTGCCGCCATGTGTTGACGTTGTTAACCCAACGTTTGATTTACAAATAAATGGCAAAGTTACTTACATAATTTGAAATTCATTTTATTGGTGTTAGAGACAGATCTAATTTTTTTCTCCTTTTCTTTATTATTATTTTTTGTTTGTTTATTCTTATCTTAGATACTAACACTCTCCATTACCTTAATATTTATTAATCTTGTTCATTAGACAATTCAACTGTTTACACAAAACAAGACAATAATTGTTGAGGTTCGTTAGTTATATCCTAGACTTGTGATAACGTTGGTGTTATCTTCTAAAAAAGAAAAAGGAAGATGATTTTTTTAATCGTTTTTCTCAATTGTTGATCTGTAAGGCTTTCTATCCAAAGATTTGTTTTTCGTAACGCTATATAATATATGACCTTTTCCAATTTTACTCTTCGCGAAAATTTCATTGTACAGGGTGGTTAAGTTTTTTCTGCTTTTTTATAACTGTATATAATTCTCATTTCATTTAATAGGTTCCATATCTTTTTTTTCTGATGATAATATTCTGAATTTATATTTGTACCTAGTTCAATATCCGTTTTCAAATACAATACTTACATATTTTGAAATTCATTTAATTTGAATTAGAGATCGATTTCATTTCTTTTTCCTTTTTTTTTATTATTATTATTTTCTGTTTGGTTATTCTTATTCTATTTACTAATATTCTCCACCTAAATTTTTATCAATCTTGTTCACTGGACAATAGCATTTCTATGTCCAATGTTGTAGTGTCATTGTTTTCCGACGGCACACAACAATCTCCAACACAAACCAATGTGTAGAGTATTCTTTAAATTTCAGAATTTTACTGTTGAAAAAATACAATCTTACACCAGTTTTCACCTCAACATATCAATTATTTCAGATTTTCAATGCTTTAAGTGTAAAGCATAAGCAACAAGTGTTCTCTTGAACAATTTAAAATCCTCCAAAATTGACCTCAGAACACCGTCAACATTTTCGGGCCAAATACCCAGGCGTCGGGAAGAAAAGGATACAAAGGGGACAGTGACGTGGGTGTTATTTATTACCACTTTCACAGCACTGTACAAAGCCTTAAAATTTTGAGATAAAGTGTGTTTTCAATTTGAATGTCTGATAGTGCATTATGTCACATGGCAAGGGGATAATGTGGGTAATGACTGGTCTTGAAATTGCGAACTAGAAAGATAACACATCTTAACACACCCACTCACACACAGA